AAACTGAGAAATGGTAAATAATATTGCACTAGCCTTTTTAGAGTGCTTTCCGGTTTAATGTCGTGGGATCGAAAAAGAAAACAAAGGAAAATATCCCAAAAAACTTTAACAAGGTGCCAGTGAGTCATTATAAAGGCAAGAACGGTAAACGCGAGTGACAAAGACAGGTTTGGTTTTAGTTTTGCATTTGATCTGTTGAGAGAATGGCGCCAGTTAACTGTATGAACCACAAAGCGAAGTTCATGTAACCGCACAATCTTGGAGTACTATGACTATCAATTGAAAACTAGCAAGTTGACTGTTAGCGATAACTGGCTTAGTTCAGAGAATTGGAAAATCTAGAACAACCATGCTACAATACTCAAAGCTTATTTTTTTCGTTTTTTTTTTTTTTTCTTTTTTTCGATTCACAGTGATGATTACCTCAAAATTTTGCAAGGGGGTCGTAAAGTACGAACACTAAGCGGTGTTTACAGATACAGCTTGTTTGGATGGGGGAATGATGATGACGACGATTGCGATGGTGATGACCTGGATGGTGATGGTGACAAGGATGGCGAAGATGGCGAATGGGGGGAAGATGATGAATATGACAGTGAAGAACGTCCCAGAAAAAGGTTCTACCCATCGATACACAGGTTTCCCTCTCCAGCAGGGAATCGTTTTGGTTTTCCAAAGAGAGCCCCGATTGGCGCCCCATATGTTACGGGAGTCCTTATTCCAGGAACGGGAGAGCTGGTGTCGATTATTTTCAAAGCTGATGACGACGATGTCACTGAAAAGGGTTTTGAGGCAATCTACCGTGTTAGACCAGGTGTGTTGATGTTCATCAATTTGTTTACTATGTTTGGAATTGACTTATTCTGTTTTGTGCATATGACGCCAGTTCAACGACATTGTTAATCAAAGACGTTTGTCATTTGAGTTCTTTGTTGCCTAGTGGTAGAGTATGGGAGAAGTCGATTCCTTCGGAGACGAACTAAGATTCTATCCTACCTTCCATGTTACTCCTCCTAAAATTAAAACTTCGTGCTATTTAGATAAATGATTAGTTGTCTGCAGTAAGCAATAATTCAAGTTCGATTTCCTTCATTTANGAACGATGTCTTGGAGCTTAAACATCTTTATAATTTATTTAGATTTGAAAATATTAATTGCTGGAATTAAATTTTAGCTCTTATCCATCTATTGCAGGGGCAGCATTTCACGGATAATCCGAGGAAACGGAGTAAGCAGAATCAGAATGCTGCTTGTCTGGACGCAACTCTAGAAATTCGTTTCATCCTCTCAAAACTCTAGTTTTTTATAATTATTCGTATTTTTGCTCAATCAGTTTACATGAAAGAAAGTACCACGACTCATGTTGTCACTTACTGTGAAAAGCCTATATTAAGATTGAGACTACTTCATCTACATCATATTAACCGGATCTAGTTCCATGTATTTCTTGCCAATTAAAGGTTGTTCAAAAGTCTAGTTTGTCACATTGAGATCTTTGAGAACGTCGATATCAAATATCATGTGAAAATGATACCATTTAAAGCTAAGTTGGGGAAGTAAATACATTCCCGTAAAACAAAGAATCTCACTCTGCAAATTCAGGATTAAAACAATTGGATTTTACAGAGAAAATGTCAGGTTTGTAGTTCTATTCATGGATTAGAGCACATCAGTATCCCCTTTCAATACTAAACAATATAGAAATATCACCATCAGCTGTTTTTCATAATAGGACAGATAACACATTTTAATTTTAATTTTAAATCAAATCCCAACACGCTTTGAATCACTAATAATCTGAATCTTTTTGTATTCAGTCGGTATTCCGTCGAGACATAAAAGTATTTGCTTAAATTAAGGATAGTCCACCTATGCGCAGTGGTGATGAACGAATTTCATCCAGTTGAGCTTGTCTAAACCAAACCGCAAAAATTAACGTGACCCTTTCTCCGGTCAATATAACATTAAGTGATCATGCAATCTCTGTTAACGTAAGTAAGTTAGTACAAAGAAATTTATCATTGACGGAGGCTGGAGCTTGCTGTTAATTTGAAGAAACCGAGAAAGTTTGAAAAGGAACCTTCTCAATTTGTTATGAAGAGCATTCTACTTGCCCTAATGGTAAGGTTCTCATCGCTTGGGACAAAATCCAAAAACTTTTGATTTTTTATCATTTTCTTTTCTGTGTATGTTTGAGCTTGTCAGTACGTGTAATATTCATTCATATCTGGGTAAAATAGTTAACCTAGGACATAACTGCAGCCGAGAAACGAAAAAGGGCTAAACAATATATTTCAGTAGAAATTACCACCCTCTACAAACAGTTCCCGTTACCCATAGATGGAAGAAAGGGTTACGCGTTTCTGAAGAAACTGTGGAGCTACACCGGGGAAGGTTTCACAAGATGATTGGGTTTTACCAGCCGAGTTGATGATGAGAAGTAGCCACCGTAATGATTTTTTAAAGCTGACATTTGGAGCGTTGGCCCTTTGTAAGAGCAAGTGGGATTTCAAATGGGATTCTCTCTGAGGAAGGGCTGACACTCCAGACGACACCTTTACAAACTCTTTATGGTGGCCAATTTAAGTTATCTTCCATTGATTAAACCAAATTATCCCATTACTCATATATCGACATATAATTGAGTTTTTCGAATTCATCACAGTAACAGATGTTGGTACATCTAATAGTCTGTGGTAAATTGTATTCATTTGCCCTCACTAAGCGGTTACAAAACTAAATTCTATCGATAGCCTCTCTAGAAATAGGTAGAAAAAAAGGGAAAAAAGGTATTTATATTACTTCTTTAATTGGGAAATTGCGAAAGCATTCACTCGTGCTGAGCACATTTATGTTTCATAATGCCTATATAAGTTGTTTATTCCATGATATTGCGCTAAACGGTTACCTTCCTTTTTCTATAATTGAATGTCAACAACCATATTCCCTCAAACGACAAAACTATTGTGACCAGTTTTAAATATAACTCACTGCACTCATCTTATGATACATGGATAGATTTAGTCAAAAATAATTTGATGAAATCAAGGAAATTTCAAAAACTCCAGCGAACGACGTTAAGAAAGCGAATCATAAAAACTCACTATTCTGCTTTATGGCAGAGAACAATAATTCGCCTTGTTCAATTGACTGTGTGCCGATACAGTTGTAAGATTTTGATAGTTTTGTAGGGACATTTGTATCCATATCTTTCGCGCCCAAGTCACCATACAGTGTGGCTAATAGAAGATATTCACTTAGATGTGAGTAACTTAGTGGCAAGATCAATAGTCCCAATGTATGCCCATATTATGATGGAAATTTCATTTCACTGCGTAGCATTGTTCTTAGTGGAAGCTACATGCTACTCTCGGTTTGCATATCAATGAAAAGATCTGAAGTCATGGACCCCCTGAAATGTTTCCCAAATACGACTTTAATGTCACGAAATTAGCTTTTTTGGTTCTCGTGATTTTCACCCCTCCCTTATTTTCTACTTCCTTAAGTTAAAATTATGAGTTCGAAAAAAGTGCCATGACATCTCGTATGGTAAAATAAAAGTGTAATCTCCGACTTGACTCATTAAGCAATGTTGAATTGGATGCAAATTCACTCTATTCCGGCTGCGATTTAAATCAGTTCGTTTTTGACTGTACCAAATAAGAAAAGTGTTGTGTTATGGATAGCACGAGGTTAAAAACTGAAAATAACCAATAACCCCATTACACACGTTTGCCCGTCCAGTCTATACATCATTTTGATTAATATGGCCTCTGTCGCTGTTCCCAAACGTCGCCTGACTCGTGGCATCTGAAGGAGTTTCGAAGAAAAGAAGATCGTTGTTATTCGCAAGAACAACTCGTATTCTTGATAAAACAATTTAGACCGCCTTTATTTAAAGGGATGGTCAGAGAATTATTTGGATGAAATAACTAAACAAATCACACGCGAGATCGAGACGACACATGAATGTTCCAAACGGAGGAACGGTTATTAAATCTCTTTATAAAAGACGCCTTCAGACTTTCTTAATTATATTGTACAAGAGCTTGTTTTTTACCTGCTATCCAGGCTATCTAAGGAATATGTTTAGTTTCCGGTCTGTATCCTATAGTCTAAGCGGAAATTATATTTTGTCTCTACCGTTTACGAAAACGACTACTTATGGTCTACACTCCTTTTCATATATGGCTTCAAAACAATGGAACTCTCTTCCGGATTCTTTTAGAACGTCTGACTTTCCTGATTTCAAGCGCAAGATTTTACAGTATGACTCTTTTTCATAGCTAAATTTTAGAATGTTACAATTTTACATTTTACATTTTACATTTTAGCAGTATTTAGAATTATATTTGTAACTCGAAGATACTAGCTTATCTTTAGCTACTCTAAATTCGAGGTTAAATAAAGTATATGTATGTATGTATATATGTATGTATGTACCATGAGCGGTCACCAAGAAAATTATCTTCTGGAGATTTTATGGCGTGTTAAATGATACAAGAACTAATATTTACAGTGAGTAGTTTGAGCCGAGGAACAACTTTTGACCATGTGGTCTGATCACCCAGGGGAGAGGGCTCTTGAGAGGGAAGGAACGTCAGTGACTGATGTTTCGACAAAATTAACAGAAGTGATCACCAGACGAGGGCTCTCGTGCGTTACTTAAATTTTTATGCTTCCATTTTCTTATTTTACCCAGCTATTTATCACTTTTATTACTAATTTATTACTAACTTGAGATGATGCGTTTTGGTAGATGCTGATGACATCATATTTAGCGGAAGGTGACGCAGTGTACACTTCTAATCCTAACTGGATGAGCGAAATCGACGACCTTGAGCCGAAAACCTTCGTGCAAAGTCAAGAGCAAGGTAGATAGTACGACAAATTCGTGTATTCTTGGGTATGAAGTTCCCTGTTTTCTGATCATGATAATCGATAAAGAAGCTCATTGCTCCTCTCTGGTCCATTGAAGCTCAAATAATTCGGAATTGAGCATGCTTTACCATCCATCCAAAACAAATACTAATGGTTATATTTAGAACATACTTTTCTTTGGGTCCTTGACTCAGCAGATCTAAAGAAAAGAGAGAAACTTTATCCCAGCCTCAAGCAAAGCAAAGAAAGTATTCTCGCCGTCAATTGACACATGACTTTTTTGACGCACTTATCGTTTTTATTGGTAGGCAGACAGCAAATGTTCACTTTTTGTCGTTTGTTGCTCGAGTAAGCTCGGTTTTTTTTTTTTAGATTCAAATTCTATTTATCTTTCAGCTCCTACTCGTCTTAGATGTCACGTTTGTTTAGAACCCGTTTCTTTGGAGAACTGCACGGCTGCACAAACTCTCCAACTTTGCGAAACGGGTTTTCGCTGCTACAACCTACAAGCATTTGACACTGCTCAGAACAGCTACATCTTTGCTAAAGGATGTCTTCCAAGCATTCTTTGTGCTCAAAATCGCGGATGCGATTTCCTTAACTTATCTCGTAATGGCTCCATTGAGTCCTGCTTGTTTGAATGCTGTCATACGCAAGGGTGCAATGCTCAGCAAAGTGCTTCATCAACGACTCCACCTCTGCCGACAACCACAGAACAACCCTCAACTGCTGTGACAATTCCTGTGACTCCATCAGGTAAATTCGTCAAGTTCAAGCAGAAATTTCATCTGCTATAGTTGTAGAATGAATGGAAACATCTTATGCATTCAAATAGTATTAATCAAGATAGGACATTTAGGAAGGAGATTTGGGGATATTTGAAGCGACGCACTCAATTGGGTCAGAATTCAATTCTTTCAACTCCGCTTTTGATATTTCTTTGGTTCAGTTTTATAAATAGTCCAATTTTAAAAGACGCAGGCTTTTAATTTTCACTTTTTTAACCTATCAAGTATCCTTGCTTGACATATTTAAAAATATTATATGTCAAAACAACGAGTTTTATTTTACTTATCAAGATATAATACTTTAAGAGTTGATTCACATACATATAAACGAAAAATGAAATGAGATTGCAAATTTCTCTAATTTCGATCGTTCATTTCTCCTTTCTTCAGCTTCAGGTTCGTTTTTCTCTCTTTTAGTAGTTCGCTTGCAATTTCGCAGTTTGGTTGTAAATTGATGCCCTACATTTATACGTTTTAATACACAGGCAAATGCGGTGGTTCGCTCTCTGCTTCATCTGGGACCCTTTCATCTCCAAATTATCCCAGTAAGTACCCTAACAACGCTGACTGCACCTGGATCATGTCTGTACCACAAGGATCAACGTTAAAGATAAAATTCGTTAACTTTTATACAGAGCGAAGGTTAGTCAGAATTTTTTCAGTTTTTTAGTAAATAGGCTCCCATTGATCACAAACAGCTTTTTGTATCTGAAGGGGCTACCCTGAGGGGTATAAATCAACAAAGGTTCTTCTTCTAGTCGAGGGTGACTCCAATACAGAATAAAAGGGTTAGGCAGTGTTCTGAGTGACTATAAATGACCTTGGCTTCGGCATTGGCACCTTTTATGAAAATATGATCATTTCTTGAGGGTAATGAAGAGCATATTTTGAGCTAGGTGGCACCTACATTGCTTCTTTTTTTTACTTTACTTTTTTCAAACAGTGCCCCCAAAACGTGCCAAACATGAGCGCAAGTTATTAACCTGTCCGATTTTTCCATTCTTTTTAATTCTGTAGATATGATTATGTCAAAATATACTTGGACCGACGACTGCTTCGTCGTTTGACTGGAAGTCTTCGAAAAAGAGATAAAACGATTTCCATTAAAGGAACTGGCAAGATAATACGCGTTATTTTTAAATCTGACCGCAGCGTTACGAAGAGAGGGTTCTTTGCCCAATACAACGTGATGCTAGGTTACTCACTCACTCTACAATTCTATAAAAAAATTATTCTGTTGAACAGCACAATATTACGTCTCCATAAGAACCAACAACTATCTGAACTTCTGAGCTGACAAAAACACCCTGATAGATCTCTTACTCCCTGTGTTCCCTCTTATTTGGTCTTATCGTGTTCCGAAAGGTAAACTTTCTTCCTCAAGTCATTTATCGCGGAAGGAGTTTTTCCAAGCTTCTCTGTGTTCTCTAACCTTCGACCCATGACCTGTAAGACTGATGTTATTGGTAATTTTAATATCTATGTTATAAATGGGAACGGAATCCGCGCAGGGATTTTTAAAGCTAAGATAAGATAACCGTGGGTTAGAGTGAAATTTGATTTCAGATCTAAAATCTATCAGAGAATTTTCAGCAAAATCATTTTTGTTTATAATTTGGTTTTTGGATGCTCTAAAGAGAATAGAGGAAATCATCCCAAACAGGCTTTTGAACAAAGGAATGAGGAAACCTGGATTGAAATTCAACCTTGGATTAGGGCTACTCGGCCGTCGAACAAGTGGCCCTGGAGAACGAATCCAACCGTCCTCTGAGGTATTTTACCTCATCAAAGCAATCTATAGAAACCTCATCGCTGAACGTTAAAAATCTCTATTCATTTTAGCACGCAGCTGCGGAGGAACCTTACCTGGCTCCTCGGGTAACTTCAAATCTCCTAATTACCCTGCAAGCTATCCAAACGACGTCCAGTGCAAATGGACCCTACATGTCCCACGTGGAGCAGTGCTGAGACTGGATTTTCGAACTTTCGAAACTGAACGCTGGTAAGTTTTAATTGTTTATATTACTATTTATTTAGTTAGTTTTTATGATAATTGCATACCAGTTGAGGGCATGTATTTCTTCTTCTGATTACGCTCATCTTTGCATTCACGTTTGATGTTTTTTTTCAGTGATGATTACGTGAAAATATACCGAGGTCGTCGCTTGATTCGTCGACTGACTGGTCGGTACGGCCGCTATGGCAGGTATAGAGGCGGAAATGATAGAAGATCTGTGTTTCAGAATGATGACGATTGTGATGACGATGATGATAATGGTGACGACGATGATGATGACGATGATGAAGACGATGACGACTATAACGATGATATAAATGATGATGACAGAAATATCCTTCACGAAAATCTTGATGATGCTGTTAGTTTTTCAAAGAGAAAGTATGGTAGATATAACCGTGTCCGACGAGCAAGGAACCGCTATGGGTCTCGGGTAAGAAATCGCAAAGGGTCCCAGATTAAAGGCCATCAACGATTCTCGTTTGTTGACCGGGTGACTGTTCGGGGAACGGGCGAGAAGATATCGATTATATTCAAAGCGGATCGACGGAATACTGGCAAGGGCTTTTACACGACGTATTTTGTTTCAAAAGGTAATAGAAAACATGTAATTTAAATAATCAATTCCAATTTGATTTCTGGTGACATTCTAACTAACTACACAATACAATTTAGGAATCTTAACTCGATAACGCAGTAACGAACACTGCTTAAGCAGTAGTTAAAATCAGGCCTGTATGGGATTCGAACCCATGACCTCTACAATACCGGTGCAGAAAGAAGAAAGAAAGAAAGTCTCATGCACTCTAAACAACAAACGTGTCTAGTTACAATGATAAGGTTGAGATCGGACGTCAGCATTATCAGGCGCCTCTGGCAGCCGCTTCAGTCCATGTAACGATCTCACCTTCCCTCCCATCCCACCCCAGGGGAGGACATCCACCACACAGTAATCTCGTGCGTGGGAAATTAACGTCTCCTACCCCTAACCCTGCAGGAGACGGGGCCTACGGTTTATTCGTCCTTATCCGAGAAGACTAGAATATCTATCCATTTCTTGATATTATAGAAAGGTAGCAAATTCTCCTCA